ACCCAAGCCCAGTCATGGGTCACCCCTGTGCATGTAGCCTCTCTGTCAGTGCTGGAGAGCCACTCTGCTCCAGGGATTGAGGGGCTTTATGGAGGAAGTGTTATGGGCTGAGCCCTGAGGGTGGGACAGGACTTCAGGCCTGTGAGTTGAGAAGAGCATCGCTGGGTGGCTGCTGTACATTCACTGCAAGGAGGCTTGGAACGTCTCACACTGGCCAGGAACACTGGTTGGGACACAGGGTTCTGTAATGAGAAGGAAGGGGCTAGAAATGAGAACAAGTCAGGACACTGAGTGACAGTGGGGGAGTGTGGCCAGTTCCTCCATGTCATGGGGCTCTGGCCAGCCATAGCATCACTAGTGCTGTGCACAAAGATACCTGCTTTCTTGGGATGCAAGGACACAGCCCCTGGGTGAGGGACAGGGTTCAGATGACAGGCACTGAGCAGGGCAGCAGAGATGGGGAGGGGTAACGGGGGGGAGAGCACTGGAGCCCAGCCCCATTTACAGCCTCACTGGGGTCCCAGAGCATATTGCTGCTGGCTTCTAGTTGGTCAGTGACTCTGAGCAGCTGGGGCCTAGGTCCTCATCCTGACTGGGAGCAGTCTGCCAGACCCTGTGTTTTGTCCTTAGGCTGCTTCCTCTGTGTGCACAGCTTTGAGTCACACTTTCTTGGTGGCCACAGTGGCTATGATCCATGTGGGGAGCTGGTCATTTGCTCTCCCACTAGTGCATTTTGTCTCTAGCCAAAGGGTAGAAGGGAGGTGGAGTCACACGACTGGACCCTAGCCTTGGTGACTCCTTCCTCTTCTGTGTTTTCCTTTCCTCTTTCTGCTGCTGCTCCTAGAGCTCCAGCCTCAACCTGGCCCATAGGTAGGTGCCACCTGCTCTCCTCTGGAGCCCAGATTTTTGAGTTTCCCTTGCTCTAGGAGCTTGATTTTCTTCTCTGGGACTCCCAGATACCTCTTGGCTCAGTTATCTCGCCTCATTCCTGGGGGATCTCAGGAACTTCCTCCCTGAGCTTTAAAATAATTCCAAGCACTGAGGTGGCAGATGGGTACTTGTCCGACTTGAGCAGAACCTCAAGTGGAGGTTCTAGGAGGGTGGGGTGCTCCAGACCCTCACCCAAGGTACTCCCTGGTTTCCAAGTCAGGAAAAGCAACTGTTAATCAAGCTGGGGGCAGGGCAGAGACTTCCAGAGAGTGGAAGGGCTCAGAAGGCTCAGAAGCAGCCTTCCAGCCTGCTCATGTCGGTGCTTATTAGAAAGCCCAAAACAGGAGGAGCTTCTGCCTGGCATAGTTTCAGACCTGTGATGGAGACCCACTAACGTTTTAAGAATAAATCTTACCATGTGCAGAGCCAGAACTCAAGTGGAGAAAGAGGCAGGGAGCTTATTGGCCATGATGGCTCCCAGAGCAGGTGGTCTGGGTGTGAATACTGGCTTGGATCTTCTAGTCAGGGCTAGGGACAGTTCTCAACTGGTGGGAAGTAGGCCTCCTGCCTCCCATGAGGATCGAGGGGCCCATGAGGTGCGCAGGCCATCTAATCTATTTATTCACACTACAGGAGCTTAATAAATGGTGTCATTGAAAATTTAACAGTTGCCAACAGCAGTTAGATTACCTTCAACCAAGAGGAGGCTCTTGGGCCAATCCTGGGAGTAGGAGGCTTGGGGGAAGGAGACAGTTTCCCAGGAACACCTGCTGCAGGTCTGTCCCCCATCATTTCCCCTGAATCTGTTTGGTGTTCATAACCGTTGTGTGCCACAGTCTAGGCAACCAGTTTGTGGACCTACAGCCATTCCCACTTACCCATTCACAGGCACGGAGCCCAAGGCCCTGCCCTGGGGTTAGGTTTGCTATAATGAAGGCCTGGGGGCTGTGGGGTACAGTGGGTCTACCAATGGCCTTCCAGCTCCATGAAAAGTGGCCAGATTCCTGCCAGGTCTCAGTTGGCTCTGCTGTCTCACACCTCTAAGCTTGCTTCAGAGCTCTATGCATGTTGCAAATCTCCCTGTCCCTGGCTCAGCCACTCTCGAGTTAACAAGTTCTTGCTGTTGCCACTCAGCTAGCTGTATGCTAGGATCTGGGATATGGAGATAGGTCAGGTATGATCTGTGACCTGGAGGGGCCTCATTAGCCTGACAGACAGGTAGGGGTAGGCACTGGGTAAAGTGTGGTGGAAGATCAGGACAGGGAGAGTTCCTGAGGCTTTGAGTGTGGACCCTGCCCACTTGCATTCAGGGTTCTGGCTTAGGAATCAGCTTTGCCATCTTAAGATTTGAGAAGGAAAGCCTGATTCTGAGGCCTTAGGATGTGGAACTCTGGCCCGCACGTGACTGTCAGCACCACACGGATTAAAAAAAACACCCCAGAACGGCGTCTAGGGGCTGTAGGAGGACTTGCAGGGCCTTGGAGTGCTTGGGCAAGTTTGGATCCTGATGGCTTGATGCTGACATGCCTCTCCCACGGCCCCTCCACCTGTCTCATGTATGCAGATCCAACCTGTCACGTAAGATGGGAGTCACAGCACACCCTGGCTGCAGGGGAGGAACTGTCGCCCACCTGTCGGCTTCATCTCACCAGAAACTCTCCACAGCAGATGTCCCACCTTTTGTCTGTTATTTTAGTTTTCAGCATGTTACACCAGGAGTATCCTAGCCACCTGCATCCAGACTCCTTTTGCAAACATACCTGGGAACCTTCTTGTAGAAGGATCTTGTAGGTGTTCTTGATAATCTATGCGTGTCTTACACATCAGCTCAGTGATGCTGAGGCCACTGGATGACCACATGTCAGCATCCCCTGAGTCAGGCTTCCTCCCAGCTATGGATGAATAGGGTTTGAAGTTTGGCTGCTCTCAGACCCCTCAGGAGCAGGCTTATATTGTCAGGGTTCTCCTGTCCACTTAAGCCATCCTTTCATTCAAAACAAAACAAAACAAAACAAAACAAGCCTTTTTGCTGGCAAAGACTAGTGAGGTTTCATGCTGGGGGACTGTGACAAAACTGAATAGGGGATGGCATCTACTAGGGTTGATCAGTGTCCTTTGGGGATGATGGAAAAGTAGATAGACAATGTTAATTGCACCAAAGTGGTGAATGCTGGGATGGGCTTAGCACAGGCTGTTGGGGACCAGAGAGTCTGTCTGTTTCTGTGGGTGGATGTGACCAGGGAAAGCTTGGAGGAAGTGACATTTATGCTAAGCCTTAGGAGTCATTCACCGGGAAGAGGGAGGAAATAGAGACTGACATGCTATGAATGCAGGAGGCCCTGCTGCCATCAGAGCATGTATTGCGTGCACGCTGGAGACACTGAGGCTGGAATGTGCTGGGATGGATTGGATCACAAGGAGACCTTGTGTGCCATGCTAAGGAGCTTGCAGTTTATCTCCAGGCTCTGGGGAGCTATTGAAAAGAGGTTTTAAGCAGGAGAACACCAGCCATGATCAGATTCGCAAGCTAAGGAGGCTCACCCGGTAGCCTGTGCACTGTGGATTGGAGGAGCCCAGGATGGGGGCAGGCAGATCAGTCCGGATTTCATGGGATTTCCTCTGTGCTTTTACAAATCTGAGGCTGGCAGGGGTGTGTCTGGCAACACACCAGCTTAGACAGAAAGGAAAGGCTCTGAGACCATCTGCAAAGGCTTCCCCACTCCGCTGGATTCCAGTATCATTTGCTGATGAGGACCTGTGTTGCCCTATCCTCCTGGAGGCTTCAGACCCAATAGCTCTCAAAACTTAATCCGAAGGCTCAGGCTGGTCTGTACCCCTTTGGATGGCCCCTGGGGCCCCCAGCCTCCTTGCAGCCTGGAATGCTGGGCCCCAGAGCCAAAACATTGTCTTTCTTGTCACACCCAGCAGGTCGTATCTGTGCACAGAACAGCCATTGAAGCGCTGCCCTCACCATGTTAGTTACGGCCAGTGGCTTAGTCATGCTTCCAGGGTCCTTTCTTCTGGGACAAGCCTGTCCTTGTGTGCAAGGCCCTCCTCACACAACACCCCAGCTCTTGGCAGCTGCAGAGCCCCCACCAGCCCCAATAGCTACGTTAGAGACGCTGCCAGTGGAAACCACAGCTTAACACGGCCTGGGCCGTGATGGGCACCATGCAGCCCTGCCCAGCGGCCTGTCCCTCCTTCACACTGGCTCCCCCAGCTTCTCGGTGCTGCCCTGCCCTTTGCACCCTGGAAAGAAGTTCCTTTACTCCCTTGGGCCTCTGTCTTAGAGAGAATCATTGACCAACCTCTACAGAAGCTCCAGAATACAGATCACAGCTTCACTGCATCTCAGGGAGGCAGTTCACTGTGTGCATTTCTGAAGTACCGTCAGTATACACCTGCGCATGAGGGCATACTCGTGTTATGGTGTAGTAGTTGAGAAATGAGATCCGGACAGAGGTGTTGGAACGTTGCTTCTTGTGTTTGCCAGCTGTGGAGTTTCAGGAGATTACTCTTCCTTTCTTTTTCTCATCTGTAGGGGGCACATTATAGTACATTAGCTAGGCTAGAGTAAAAGGAGATGATCGCATAACTCATGTTGCAGAGTGCGTGAGACTGATGGTAACTCAATAGAAGCCATGGTCGCTTGCCCTCTTCCTATTTATTGCTGTTGCCATTACTGGACCTTCATTGCCACCGTCCAAAGCAGGGTGTCATCCTTGTGTCACAGATGAGGAAGCTGAAGCCCAGAGAGGCTCAGCAGCTCCTTCAGTGTCACAGAGCTGGCCAGCAGCAGAGCTGGAACCTGAACCCTTTGTCCAGTGTTCCTGACACAGAGCTCACACCTTTGCTAAATCAGTCACAGGGCTGGGGAGTAAGTACCCTGGCCCAGGAAGGCAGCAATGGATCCTATTGCATCTTAATGTTATTTCTCCACTTTTCTAGGTTCCTGAGACTGATGAGGGCCGGGAGAGCTGAGGGATGGGGGAGATGGTGACCCCTGGGCAGAAGCTACCAGCAAGGGACCTGCGGCTGCTGGAGAGAAGTGATGGTGACATTTGAAACCCAGGAGGACAGCAGCCAGCACGTGTGCTTGACAGGTACCAAGATCCAGGATGCTGGGATGAAGCTTCTGGAGGCGCTGGTGTCACTCCTGCCCAGGTGCTAGGAGCCGCCCCCAGGCTCCAGCTGGGAGCCCTGCTGCCCAGGGGCATGGCCAAACCTTTCTTCAGACTCCAGAAGTTTCTCCGAAGAACACAGTTCCTGCTGCTCTTCCTCACGGCTGCCTACCTGATGACCGGCAGCCTGCTACTCCTGCAGCGGGCCAGAGTGGCCCTCCCACAGGCCCTCCGGGCTCCTGGCAGCCTACAGGCCTTGCCAGTGGCCACTGTGGCACTAGGTGTGGGCCTGCTGGATGGCAGGAGCCTTCACGATCCGCACAGCAGCCCTGACCTACTTCTTGATGTGGATGCCCTAAGGAGTCCCCTGGCCCGACTGCCACCTGGACTCCGCTGGCCCCGGAGGAACCGCAGCTCACTGCGGAGGCGCTGGCTACACCACCTCACCAGTGACTCCCAGGGACCACCCACCCCGGGCCCTGAGGCCCCTGGACCAGCAGTCCGCAGCCAGGGTAGGTGCTCCTGTGCAGGCCTTAAGCCCTGCTCAGGGTTCCGTGCGCTGTCCCTTTTCTCAGCCAGGTGGCAGCTGAGGGGTGTGACACTGTCCCCCAGAATCAAATCCGCAGACTTTGATTTCGGCTCAGTCACACTTTCCTGGGTGACCTCGGTTATGTCACTTGTCTCTGGGTCCTTTGAGCTAGAGACAGAGACTCTGACCGCAGGGCTGTTGTGCATGTGTGTTGGGCTGGCTTTGAGCAGTGTGTCGCAGAGTGCTGGGCTCGTCCAGAGCAGCAACGGCTGCTGTCCTTGGGAACTGGTGACCATTGAGCGTAATCTCAGCTTCTCATACATCTAACAAAGCAAAACCTCTACGTTGGTTGCCACCGGCAATCCCCTTATCCGCTCCTAGGTCAGTGGTCGCATCCTTCCTAAGGCTGCAGTCTTTCAATACCGTTCTGATGTCGTGGTGACCCCCAACCATTAAGTGATTGCATTGCCACTTCATAACTGTAGTTTTGCTACTGTTATCAGTCATGTGAATATCTGATATTCGACCCCTGTGAAAGGGTTGTTTTACCCCCAAGAAGGTCTCAGCCCACAGGTTGAGAACCACTACTCTAGACCATCCTGGTGGACTCATAAGCCAAGAGCCACTAGGCAAGGGGTCCTCCCAAACTGCTTGGCCCTCTAACTGGAAGCTCTCATTAGTAATAATGGCTTGTCTCTACAGTTCTGCTGTGAAGCTGCTGTGTCTGACGCTATCACTTCCCAGGTCATGAGGGAAGACATTGAGGGAAAGATGAGTGAATGGCCAACGTCATCCTCATAGTCTGGGGTTTCTAGAAGCTAACCCTGAAGCCAAAACTCAGGTGTAGAGTCGTTCTGGGCAGTGGTCTTAGGAAACCCTGCTGGGAAGTGGCAGAAAGACCAGGAAGGAAGGCAGCCAGGAGGTGTGCCACAGAGCAGGTGCAGGTGATGGAGCTTGCCTGAGAGGGAAGGGTACTGGTGGAGGCAAAGCTCCACACACATCCCAGAGCAGCCTGAAGTGGCAGGCCTGGCAGCGGGCAGCGAAAGGATCAGCCTCCACACTGCTGGGAGTCGCAGGTCGAAGCGCTCCACTCTGGCCTGATGCTCTTCCCTGCGTTCTAAAGGTTGTCTGTCCCCAGCCCAGGGAACATGCCGGGCGCCTTGGGGAGCACACAGTGAGTGCAGACGTAGTGCCTGACTGGCAGCTGAGCTCAGTCAGCTCCGATCATCCGGTTACCACTGGATCTGGTCCTGTGCCCTAAGCCGACAGAGGAGGTGGCGCTCCTGTCCCTAAAATAAGTGCTTAGCTTACTGAACATAGAGTATGAAGCATAGTCTATAGAGAGCCTAGCGTAAGTAATACCCACAGTGCACAGAGTAGGTAGCTTAGAGAAGTAAGCATGGCACATAAAGCATTAGGCACCGTGAGCAGAGTTTGTAGCCTAGAGTGCTAAGGGGAAGACTGTAGGAGGAGAAGAGGCAGGTGGGCATCAGGTTCAGGGTAGGGAAGGCAGGAGAAAGTCCCAGGCCCAAGATTCGGGATTCATTGATTCATCGATTCATCTGTTTTGTGCTGCTGGAGCTCGGATCTCCGGCCTTGGGATACTAGGCCCATCCTCCACTATTGAGCCACCTCCCAGCCCTTGATTTATTCTGGGAATAATAAACCCAAGTTTCTCTTGCCTTGCGGAGATGACTCAGTGGGCCTGACAAAGTGAAGTCTGGAAGGCTATGGGTTCTTGTCTCCAGGGAATGATGTGTTTCAGACATCATCCATTTGATGTTCCTCACAGGAGGCTCTTTAGCAGGGCCTGCGTGTAAGGAGACAGAGAGACTGATGGTATAGTTCATTTTATATGTGTGTGCCTTCTGTAATTTTTCCCAACACACCAGAAGCTGGGTCTCTGTGCAGGCATTAGCAGGGCAATTAACTTAGACTAAAGTGTGAATGACCTGGAGAGGGCCCATGGGTTTCTTGAGAAGAAGTTTTGTGAAGTGCATCCTTGTTGAAGACATAGCTGAGTTCCTCTTTTTATTGCTACTTCATGGCTCTGTGACCTTGGACAAATGGACCTGGAGTCTATTTTTCGTTTCTTCCTCATTTCTTGGAGACCATTAGGCTTCAATATGTGTTCAGTATGCATTAGGCCCCATGTGTGTTTTGCACTGGACCCTTGAATACTCTGTCTGAAGTGGAGTCAGGTATCCAAGTAACCACTGCACAGACTTACTAAAGGATGGTTAGGACATGGCATGGAACGTGAGGCAGAGCAGACCTTTATAGCTAGTCTTCAGAGAAGGGGCCTGGGAATCTGATTCCGACCTATGTTAGGTCCAAGAGAAGCGTTTAGTAACCTCCAAAGACACAGTGGTGATGGAAGGACCCCTAAAAGCAGGCAAGATGACGAGCAGGACAGTAATCAACTGCTGTCCAACAGTATGGCTTTGGGTATGAATAAAAATGGCATTCCTCCTTACCTGTTGATAGCCCCTTTCCGTCTCCTCTGGAGTACCTGATTGCCAAATAAAGAAAGGGTTGATTCTGCCACACAGAATCAATGCTGTACAGTGCAGCGTCCAAGGTCCAATCTTGGATGTGGGGCTTGGCAGTAGGGACTTGGAATGGTCTCCCTGCAAAGTCTAAAAGAGCAGTGTCTGAGGGCAGTGTGATGACATGCTGGAAGTCTTCAGAAAATGCAGAGGAAGGCAGAACACTGGCCTGGGAGCCTCTGCCCCTTTCTCTTATGGGACTCTCTGGCCCTGCATCGTCTAGAGAGTGGCCCACAGTGTAGCCCTAGGCAGCTGCTGGGACTGCAGACAAAGCAAGTGTCTCTTTGCAGCCCGGGCATCCCGCCATCCCCTGAAAGGGATCCTGCAAGCCACGGAAGCTGCAGGAGTCTCCATCAATCACCGAGCATTTCATTATACCTTGGACAACATCCATAATGGAATAAAATGTCAGTAAGTTTACTAGGGGAAAAATAGTAACTTCTCCATAGCCAGTTTGTTTTTTATTGATAGTAATTTCCAAAGACATTCCAATATCTCCGAAGCCATTGTTAATAGCCTCACGACTTGTCCGTTCTGATGTGCAAATGAACAGATGCAGAGTCACAGACGGTAATGCATTGCCTCCTTTTCAGCCCAAAGTAATAAATCCGCCTCAGGAGCTCCTCCGTCCCAAAGAATGCCTTGAAAGTTCTTGCTTTTCTGCACATTCTTGCCTCTGTCAGGGCCTTAGAAAAGCCATTTTTTATGTTAAGTGACAAAGGGCTCCTCTGCTCCTCTACAGCCCAGAGGGACCATCTGTGTCTCAAGCTCTGGCTGAACCCCAAGACAGGACTGCTGGGTGCCAGGGTGGGGCGGGGGACTTCCACTTATGCTGGTCAGACACAGAGTCCAGCTGCTGGGTACTCAGCCGCTTCTTTCAGAAGGCCAGCCTGGCTGTTGAAACCATTGCTTTCCCCTCTTCTATTAATGTGCTAATTATTCAGCTAATATTTACTGATCCATTGGCCCACTAGGTCCCAGGTTAAAATATAGGATCAGAATAATAATAGATGTTATTTATTTGAACATCTGTTATGTATGGAGCATCATTTGTGTAGATGCCCATCTGTCCTCCTGTTTAATTTAATCTTCAAAGAGCCTACTATGTAAGCAGTGCTCTCGACACTCTAACAGTGAAGAATATGAGTTCCAGGGAAGTAAAGTAATTCAGAGTTCTTGATTATTAAAAATGAGCTGCTAAACATAAAACAGTCACTCCTGAGTACCTGACACTTCAAGCCTTTTGTTAGACATTGGATACATATTTTTTGTGTGGAATTCTCACAACCACCAGCTTCTAGAATTGGTGCCATGTCACCAGTTTGTAGATGGGGAAGCTGCATCTTACGGAGGAGGGATCTACACATCTCAGGTCATATGGCCCTGCCCTGGTGGAACAGGAGTTTTGAACCACCAGCATCCCATTCTCAGAAACAGGGATGCCCCCTTTCAGCATTGGCAAGTCTTGACCCAGGTGCCTTTTGAGCTTTGCGCTTCCTTTTCAGCTACAGAACTTGTGTTTGGAATGTTTAGTTGAAAGCTGTGATGGGCTTTTGTCCAACACGTCAGAAGTTTCTCAGACAGCATTTCTTTCGCTAGTCAGAGAATAATTCATGCCACTGCTCTGGGTGGATGTTTTCTGCGGTCATATGTGGTGGATTCAGGGGTCCTAAGGTGTGGTGGGCGTGCTGGGTGTGGCCACATGTGTTGATGTTCCGTGGAGGTGGCCTCAGGAGGCATGGAGTTTACAAGGGCCATACTGAAGAAGGGGGCTATTGGCTTCTCTCTGGCATCTTCTGACCTGAGATTCCTGCTGTCATGTCTGTTATCTGCTCCAGGAATTCAGGCCCCTGGGGCTTAGAGCAGAAGTGGCCAGGGGGCCACCTTCTTGTACCAGACATCCTCTGCTCTTACACCTGAGGTGTTGGGACTACTGTATGGTCTGTAGGAGCTGTGGCCCTCTGTTTCCAGACAGTGATAAGGTGAACGTTGTGCCTAATCAGGTTGAGTCACTTGGAGTAATGGATGCTATCCCAGGAGGTTGTCGATTTAGATGTTTTTAACAAGTTGATGGCTGGAACTGGCTGACAATCCCAGGCATTAGCTTGCTTGTGTTTTTAAGCCAGCATCTTAAAGTCCTAAGACCCTGTGGAGAGCTGGGGTGACAGGGGAAGGATTCTGGCCTTATGACCAGAGTAAAAAGCTCTGGCTAGGTGGGAGGAGGGAACTGATCCAGAGCAAAGGTACGAATGCATTCACTTGACAGTTGGGGAAACTGAGGCACTGAGAATTGAGATGATTTAGCAGAGTCTAAATTAACCTTTACTGTGGAAGCACTCCCAGACAGAAGAGCCCCTCCCTGCTTCAGGAATGGTGTGGAGCAGTTCCGGACACTATGTAGCAAAAGCCACCATTCCTCGTGAGGAATCATGACCTCACTCTTCTCTGGCCAGCCCTGTGAAGCCAGGAGGCTTCAAGAGAGCCGGACAGGTGTTCCTGGTGCACACACACACGCACTCAGGCTGTGTGCATCGTCAGCGCAGGTATCCTATCCAGTTTCCAGCATAGTGGTTGTAGATGTGCCTTCCCAGTTGGAGGACCATGTGAGAGTGTGTTTGCAAATTCCCAAATGCCATTTCTTCAAAACACGATGATGCATGTGACATTTACACGCTTGGGGCTGTGCTTGCATTCTCCAAGTTTCTTTGCAAGTCTGGGAGCCATTTCCTTCCTGTTGGTGACAGGGCAGGGCTACCAGCACAACTCCCACTGGTGTGTGCATGCTTGGGTGGTGCCACCGCCCTATGGGATCATCCCTGAGTGTCACTGACTGGGGAAGTGCCATGGGGTGGCAGAGGGCCCCACGGACACTTGGTCATATTGGTTCCCACATGGACACCTGCCTTAGAACTGACAGACTCTGTTTACAGGTGTGAGCCGCACACTGCACATTTGTTGTTTTACAGAGGCCCCTGCTTGTGAACAAAATCGGGTTAACTAATTCCAGACTTCCCCAACCTCCCTCTGGCTCGTGTGAAGGTGATAGAACTGTGTCTTGGGACCATAGTAGAAGCAGAAGGCCTCGCTGAGCCTAGGAAGGGAAGAGGGAGTGAGGTCATTAAGCCACCAATGTTTACGAGGACTCAGGTGTATAGAGACGCCAACCACCGTGACTGATTGTATGCACTGATCGTTGCACGCATATGCTGAATCATTATACTGTACCCATCGATACGCACAGTGAATACTACTACTTTTTAAATGCAGACCCAAACACGGGGAAGAGGGGTGGCAGAGAAAAGCTGCAGTCAGGCTGACTCCAGGCTCCCGGCACCACCTTTGGGTGCACAGTAGGCCATCAACTGCTGCATAGTGGGCCAGTAACTGAGTAAAGAAGCAGAAAGCTGCCCAGCTGCCCACTTGGCTGTTGTGGAAGCTGAGGAGCCACTCATCCCTCCGCTTTCTGGGAAAGCATGTGGTCTAGGTGGGGCTGGAGACCCTGGCTTTTCACACTGGCGGCAGGCGGGCAGGCTCCCAGGATGAAGGCCCGTGGCTGGGACCCTCCCTGCCTCCTGGGCCTGTGACCTCAGCTGTGCTCCCTTTGCAGGCAGTTACCTGGGATGCTTCAGTGAGGAGAGCCAAGAGAGAACGCTGAAAGGGGCAGTGTTTTATGACTTAAGAAAGATGACCGTGGCCCACTGCCAGGATGCCTGTGCTGAGCGGTGAGTGTTGAGCTGGGCTGTTAACTGCATGGAATGAAGTTAGAAGACAGTTTCTGAACCTGGGGACAACGTGCTTGTCCATCCTGATACCATTCATTACACCTCATCAGATTCACTCATCAGATTCTAATCTCCAGGAGAAAGTGCGTCTGCATCTGCGTAGATGCGACTAGGGTGCGGGCAAGTACTGGACACCTGGTTCCCATCGCTGCTGTGACTCGGGGTTCTCTGAGCATGCCACCAAATAGGGCGAGGTCCCATCAAAATTGTAGTTACTGGAGTCTCTGACCTCAGCTTCCTCGTCTGTTTAAAATAAAATAAAGGGACCAGAGGACCTCAATGAAAATAAAATTGAGGACTAATCCAGTGGTTAGGAAAAGCATTTCTACTTGTGTTTACAGCAGAATTTGCTTTTTCAGGGCGTAGTTTCTACTGACAGGACAGTCACAGCTCAACTGTGTGTGCATGTTTAGGTTGGAAGACAGGCAGAGCAGCATGCTTCACCTGTTTTTATCCCTTAGATTCATTTACATTTTTTTTTAAATGTCAAGTCTTACCCCATTCTTTTAGGTAGTCGTGAATTGTCCCCTATTTTATACCTGGAGAAAGCAGGGACAGGACCCACCTCTCCATGCCTTGTAGCCCAGAGAAAGGGAAGGCTGAACCTGAGCATGGCAACGTCTCATTTCAGCCTCTTCATATTTAAGGAGGCAGCACCTACCTTAAACATATTTAAGGTGACAGTACCTACCATCCCCTGAGCAGCCAGATAGGCCTTCATCACTGTGGAGTTTTCATTCTGGGATTTTTACGTTGGAAAAGGAGTGTGAACAGGTAGCCACGGCTCTGTACGATACTCTGTAGGTTCTGTTTCCTATGCTGCTCTGTCTAGCTGTGGTGGTACCATCCGGTAAGGAGGAGGAGAAGGGGGCTGCCAGCAGGGCCCTGTAGTGTCACCTGCTGCGTGGGCTTCAGGCCAGAGCTGTGCTGGCACTGGATACACGTAAATCTCCACCTGTGACCTGGGTTGCAGCTTGAGGTCATTCGCATGAGTACTTACACCACAGCAATTGGCAGACTCTACACCGGAGCTCTGCACGATGGCCGGGAACTATGTTCCTACACTTCACTGGTGTGGCCCCTTGTAGCTTGGGACCATAGACGAAACTGAAGTCCAGTCTCCAAGCTGGCAAGACAGACCAAAGGGGTTTGCTTCCTAAGAAGGCCTTCAGCCCTGTGTGGAGCCTGATTCCTTAGGCCAGCAGTTCGCAGCCTTCCTAATGCTGCAGCCCTTTAATACAGTTGCTCATGCTGTGGGGATCCCAACCATAACATTATTTTGTTGGTACTTGATAACTGTAACTTTGCTACTATTACGAATTGTTATACACATATCTGATTATGTAGGGCATCTGATGTGTGACTCCTGTGGAAGAATTGTTTGACCCCCCCCCCCAAAGGATTTACGACTCACAGGTTGAGAACCACTGCCCTAGGCCGTGCTAATGGCCACTCGCTGTCCAGGCATGCAGACCCCATCTCAGCTGCAAGTCCAGCCCTGAGATCCGGCTGCCACCCCCTGACTCTGACCTTTCCATATTTTGGCCCCCAGCCTTCTCGCTGGACCCAGCTTGGATTCGCTCACACTCTGTGTTTCTGCAGGTCCTATGTATATGCCGGCTTGGAGGCTGGTGCAGAGTGCTACTGTGGGAACCGGCTACCAGTCACACGTGTCAGCCTGAAGGAGTGCAACCAGGAGTGCAAGGGGGAGAAGGGCTCCGTGTGCGGTGCCGTCCACCGGCTGTCCGTGTACGGCGTGGGGCTACAGCAGTCCGGCTCCAGGAAGCGTGAGTGTGCCAGCCTCATCTGAGTCTGTGTGTCGGCATGTCCCTCTCACCCTGCTCACATCCTGTAGGCTGGCATCAGTGCCCTCTTTCCCTGGCAGCCGCACCTCACTGATTCTCGGCATGCTGTGGACAGTGAGGGCCGTCAGAGCCTAACCACCTAGGCTCATGGCAGGGCACACCTTCCCTTGTGTCTCGTGGGAGAGGGTGACTCTAGGCTGCTGTGTGGCTGCAGGTGGCTCACTTCTCTGCTCGGGTTCCAGTCTGTTCTCTAACTTCTCCGGACGGAGCATGATCTCTAGCCCTGGCATGGCGAATCTGAAACTGGTTTGAGGAGGTAGACATTGAGATGTGAGCATGCGTTTGTGTGAATTTGGGGGTTCAGCTTTATGCTGTCTGCCTGGACCTGCAAGCTCAACACAAAAGTTGGTCCTGGGGGTTCTGGAGGTCCTCAGAGGAGCAAGTTCCAAAATCTCTCTCAGGAGAGCTATGCCAACAAACCTACGCACCAAGGGCTCTTATAGATAATCTCACCAAAGGTGAGCATACAGTTCAAAATTACTCAGCTTGAGAAGAAATAGCCCAGTGCCGAGGACACAGTGGATCACAGTTGCTTGAATAGGGCCGGAGTACAGGACACTGACTCCTTCCTGAGTGCTACAGGTGCTCAGTGCCTCCTGCCCCAGGCAGAGGTCTAGAGGAGGCGGTAGTCTGGACTGAAGACACTGGTGATACATACAAGCTCAAGGATTTGCTAGAAACCCATCAACACCTGCCTGGGCTTCCCAAGGACTGGATTGGCCCATTCTAGCTTCTTAGGTCTTTTATTTTATTTTATTTATTTATTTCTGCCTCAGATGGTTAGCCTGATCCCTGATCCCTCACTCGTGAGACCCAGCAGAACAGGCCTGAAGTAGACTTTGGGCCACCCTCCCAGCATCCCTCTCCGCCAAGCTACTAACTTAGAGACAGCTGTTTTGCCTCTGCTTCCGATTGGCTGAGGGACAGATGGTGTGGTCATTAAGTACAGGCTTTGATCTTGAGCGGGCCAGCACTGCTACCCTGGCTCATGTTGGCAGTGGTGTCAATGCCATGTCTGCAGCCAGCTGTGTGGCTGACCTTTGCACTCTGCAGCCCTCTCCAGGAGCTGTGCTAACAGGCTGTCAGACACGATCAGGTAGCCACCCTTTGTAAGTTGCAGCTTTGCAGCTGCTAGGACATACTCGAAAGCATGCTTTTGCGGTTCAGCTGGGATCAGGGTCAGGCCTGACACTTTGTCAGCGTCTTTCCCTGACGGTGTTCTTCTGCCCTGAGTGCCCGAGGGCCCTCACCTGGGACGTAGAGCGAGGCCCGTTTACACTTACTGGCATTGTCCATCAGCAGTCACATTAGTGATGTGCACAGCCACTTCTGTGACTTCCTAAGCCTCATGGGCTGCTTCCCTGTTGTAGGTCATGCTGAGCCCCCATGTACCTTACCTTATTCTGTTCATTTACTCACTCAGCACCCCTTGGCTCCCGCTGTGTTTCAGTGCTGAGGCTGGTTACAGGGAGCCCAGGGGACAGCACACAGCCTCTTTCTGAGAGTTCCATTCTGGAGTCTCATGACCCCCATCGTCCTCCAGCACTGACATGGGCTGGACACCTGGGATACTGGTTACTTTCCTTCTCTGTGCTTTGTCTGCCCCAGACTCTCCCTTGCCATGTGCCCTTCAGCCTGTGTCCTTAGTGTCTCTCCCATGCCAGTGGTTGAGATCTGTGGCCTTGTGGTCTAAGTCGTTGTTCTTTGTGACCTGGCTTTGCCACCGTGGGCTTTGGCTGTTGCTCCACAGTATTGAGCAGGTGTGTGGGTATGTGGGGTTACAGCTGTCAGGAGCTGGTACTGGGACACATAGTGCCTCCATAACAGTCCTCAGAGCTTGGAGGATGTAGGAGGAAGAGTCCTTGAGTCTGTGACACAGGGCTAGTCACAGCTTGACAGGTCCTGAGGACTCAAAGCCAGCTGTTTTCTTTGCAATAGGTAGCCTTCCTAGTTCTGTGCACTGATTGCCCGCTTCTGTGGTCAGTCAGGATGGGCTCCCAGGTCCAGGTCTTAACAGTTTTTAAGGAAAAATTCCCACCCTGACCAAGGCTGGTGTACTGATAGCCAGGAGACATGACCAGCACAACAAGTTTGACGACAGATGTCAAGCCTCAGGAGGCCTTATGGGAAGAGGAGAGTGGAATACGAATCAGATACCATCTCAAGAAACTTAACCCCAAGCAGTTGGTTAAGTTGGAACATTCCAGAATGTTTGCTCGTACCAAGAGAACCAAAAAGCAAGCTGAGCTTTTCCACCAGAAGGTTGAACAACTTGGCAAGAAATTCCTTTGTGACTCGGGATTAAGTACTCCTAGAAACCAAGTGGGAGTTGGACATCCAGCTAGGAGGCCCGGGGGTGCTCTGTCTGCCCCAGCACAGCAAGAGGCAATGGGCAGTCCAGATCCTCAACTCCACTTATTTCTTTGTGCATGTTTTTGTTAGTCATAGAACTTCCCAGACTACCCGCCTGTCAGATCACCCACTGTGGGATCAAGCATGAAGTAAAATGCAAAATGAAGGAAAAAAAAAAACAAACAGCTAACTCACCCCCTCACCCCGCCCCCACTACCACTTGCAGGAGAAAGCAATCCCTTAACTCAGCATTACAGCCATGTGACCTTTCTCAGAGACCCTAGTGACTGTGGGTCCCATGGTGGGTTATTCTCAGGGGCTGGGCTCAACCAAATCTGGACCCTATTCTCTCTCTGTCTCTCTCTCTGTCTCTCTGTCTCTCTCTCTCTCTCTCTCTCTCGATGTCTACCTCTCCTGCGTATTTCACATAGGTCTCAGGACCCAACACCAAGCACAGATGCCACTGCTCATCAGAACCCCATTTCCTTCCCTGCAGGACGTGCTGCCACCTACCGAGGGTGCTTCCCGATGCCGGAGAACACCACCCACACTTTCTCCTCCTCCGTGACACAGGCCAACATGACTGTGGAGACATGCTCTGGATTTTGTTCCCAGAAAGTAAGAACTGTTTCGCTTGTGTGATGCTTTAGGCATACCGTGGGGCCAAGCCATATTGGGCCACCCTGACCAGCCCAGTTGGGAGCCAAGGAGTAGAGGGCGTGGCCAGGCTGTGTACCAGTGTCAGGGTGTGTTGGGTAGTTCACAGGCAGCATCCACTATGGTTTGAGGCTGGATGGGGAAGGCGTATAGCTGGAGAGAATGTGTATGTGTGCCTTTCAGCATGGAAGCTCTGGGCACAAGTGTCACATGTTAAATTGGCCTTATTTGGACTCAGGGAGGAGCTGGCTCAATCCTTAGGGACAGGTGATGGACTTTCCATTGTCTATACTGAGGGCTGTGACTGACTGCAGGGACAATGCCATACCACGCCTGTGCTTCAGTCCAGGCTTCGGAGGGGAGTGGAACTCTGCCAGGGCTGGGCTGGGCAGGGCACCAAAGCCACTGTCTCTACATTACATACTGGCTCTGTGGGAGGATGAGGAGTGGTCAAGGCAGGTGGAGATTGTAAAGCAAAGTCAGGAGTGTGTGTGGTGTGTAGGGAGCTCTGGGTCTACAGAGCACAGAGGCACCAGGCTGGCATTCGGCCATCTCCACCCTAGGTGACAGTGGGCTGGGAGCTGGGGCTGATGCAGTGGCCTCCATGTTCTGTGGTATTTGACAGCATAACAGACAGAGCTAAGGGGAGGAGAGGACATGGCCTGTGATGGTACTGATGATGATGGCAGTGATGATGGCGGCCATGGTTGTGGACAGAAACAGCCATTTACTGACCACAGGTACCATGTGTGGTACCATTTCAAGTACTTTACCTGTGTGAACTCATTTCACCTTCCTAAGGCCTAATGGGGTGGCTGTGGTGATGATCTGCATTTGGCAGGTGAGGAAACTGAGACAGCTAAGGCACTGAGCTGGGACTTGAGTTGGGCCTGTTGTGGCATGGGGAGGTGTAAGGGATGGAGCAGAGGCAGCTTCAGGCCTGACGGCCTCAGCCCCACCCCTGCAACTCCACTGCCCTCTTCCTGCTTCCTCAGCTCTCTGGAAATGCTTCCTTTGCAAGGTGGACTGAGAACAAAGCTTTTATAGGCGCCTTCCTCTCTCTTGAGAACAGTGTTGACGTACTTCTGCTCCACATCACCAGCATTTTCAAAGCCGCTGGTATCAGGGCCCATAGGTCACGGTACAGTCACCTCCAAGGTCAGTTTATCGACTTGCAGATGGCTGGCTTCTCTTCTCATGGTGGGAACAGAGTTCAGTGGGGAGAGAATAAGGACACCCACATAGCTGTCCACTCTGCCCATGGCAATAAAGAAATAATACACCTGAAAGTTTGAGCCATTCCCCCAGAAGACCCTGACCCCAGCTCCTCTAGAATGTAGAAGGTCGCTGGCCTAAAGCAGGAGAAAGACAGATCTCCCCCCCTTTGGAGGGGCCTGGGCTTTCTGAAGACTGGCTGCTCTAATCTTCTCAGCAGGGGACCTCCTCACATCCCTGGTGGCTGTGGGAGGCAGCTCAGGTTTGCAGGGGGATAAGGCTGTACACAGCACAGCCAGGACTCCTGACTCCACCATCTGTGCTTTTAGACTGTGCAACCTCTTCCTCATGACAGAAGGTGAGGGAGAGATGAGAAAAAGAACTCGAAGAAGAGAAGGTGCAGTCGCCGTGCCAGCAGGCTTGGACACCTCATGTTAGCTTTGAGTTAACGTGTTTGTGTAGAACACAGTAGAGAGAGGCCAAGCAAGTGGCTCTCTCCTGCCTCTCTCCCACCCAGCCTCCTCCCTAGGAGGCAGCTCTTTGCCCTGGCTTCCCATCCACTCTCAGAAACTAAATATTCAATCAGTTGCTTCCTCAGCTGGTCTCTTACAAACCCCAGGGCTACGGGTAACACAGTGCCTGCACTCTGCTGGATGAACTGGCTGTGTCTGCCAGCCAGGCCCTTAGAGATTGCTCCATATGGGTGTAGAAAGTGAACCCCAGTCGTTCCCAGCCTCACAGATGTCCTATAATTTATTTAACCAGTCGCCTACTGTTCAGCTTTTAGATTGTGTCTAGTCATTTGCTTTTACAAAGTGCTGCAAAGACTATGTTTAGGTCATTTTGTATGAGTGAATCTGTAAGAAAAGAGAAAAGAAAAAACTGGAAAACTCTCCTAGGCGATGTGGGGTTCAGGAGTTACCTTTGTTGCTCAGTGTCTGCTGCCAGATTGCCCTTGGCAAAGGTTGTGCTAACTTTACAGCTCTTGTGGAGATGTGGAAGATGCCACTCCTGGAGAGTTCTCCTTTGGGGAGGGGCCATCCTAGGAAACTGCTCCAGTATTCTGGATGTGTCTACCGCCGGGCAGTCCACTAGAACCCAGACAGTAATTTAAAGAGAAAACCCCCTTGCTATTTTCAGCTCTCTTTCATATTTACTGGCACAAATCCACATCGCTACAGTTTTACAGTGAAGTGTGCCAGAAGATCCCCGCAGGCTCCCGGTCTCAGAAGCCGTTTTGCACCTTAGCACCTTGTCTGTCTCCCTGCAGATGCATCTCAAGGGCAAGGTACTGGCTTGGTGCTGGTGTTCGCAGCAGGCCTGGCTCACTGGAGCTCCTCCATGTGCCCCGTGTCATCACAGCAAGCATCAGGCGTGGGAAGTGATCCCGTCACCTTTACCCAGCCCCCTTCGGGTGGAGCAGGAAGGGACATTTCCTTGAGCCCCATTGTTCATTGCCGCAGGGTTTGCAGCTGTGGAAGAGCCATTTACAGCACCGAGTTGAGCGTGGCAAAGCACATTTAGCAGGATTTGGCCAAATTGCATAGGCTGATGTTTACAGCGGTAAAATAATGTGCTGGGTGCCGGCAGAGCCCAGCATTGAGTGGGGTGCAGAGCACTGCAAGGCAAAGGGAGCTTGTGGCTGGGGAGGAGCCAGGGTGTATGGCTGAGTAAGGCTAGGCTGAGGGAGGTGGAGATCACTTAAAGGGAAGGAGGACCACAAATTCTGGGGAGGGTCTGGAGCACCTGGGCAGTATGAGCAGATGGACAAGGGAAGTGGACAGTCCCCTGCAAGAAACATCTGGGAGCTGGTGTGAAAGGTGGGAAAAGTTACAAAGAGCCTTGGGTAGCTACCGTAACGCAAGGGGTTGTTTTTGTTTGTTTTTAATTTTCCCCAGGAGGAAACAGGAAGCTGCTGGTGGGGTAGTAGAGGCTATGAGTAGCATGGCACTCTCCATCTGTAGACAGGATGTTTTGGACCAGAGAGAATGGTGGGGCTGAGGGAGGAAGGGCCAAGCTGAGAGGTGCTTTGCCAGCCTAACGCCCCGAGGGGATGTGGACCCACCTGGAGGAGGGATGATTTCCGTGGTGGAGAGTGGGTCTGCCCAGTAGATCCTCCATAGATCCTCCAAAAAGGCAGCATTCTTCGGGCTAGCCTAAGAGACTCTTGGCAAGGCTGTCACAGAGGTCAGCCCACGATAGGGCTCTGGAGTAAGGATTCCAGCTGTGGCCAAGCAGAGCAGTAAAACCATCAGTGAGCGCACCTCTGCTCCCAGGCTGCCTTCTGTCTCCCTTGTCTTCCCCCTAACACATTGTACACTGGAACTCAAGGCCTCAACCTTCAGATTTCCTGGGTTTGGCTTCATCCTAGAGCAAAGTCACGGCCTTGGAATGGGGTTGGAGAATTCATTGTTTCAGGAACTTTGCATTATAGGATATTTAGCAAGGATCCCAGCTCCCCCACCCCACCCCGACAGCAACTCTCCCCTCAAGAGTCACATCTCAAACTTCAGGCACTGACCAAGAAAGATCCTTGGAGGTAAAACCATAGCCCTGGAGAGCCAACTTGAATATGTAGCAGTGCTCTGCCTCCCCCCCCCCCCGGCACTGAATACCACTCTCAGCATGGGTGCCTGTGTTAAGGAGTGTGCTGGAAGGTGGCCTGACCATGGCCTCGGCAGGGAGTGATTTCCTGACTTCTGTCCTGTACAAGGTGAGTGGGTGGCACAGCAGCGATGAACACTTACCTGTACCTTCTTAAGAGTCCCCAATCCAATTACTTCCTTGCCTAGAGAGGCCAGCAATGGTGTCACAGCAGGACTGTCCAGTGCCAACCTCATCAGATTTTCACTGGGCCAGAAAATAAGCTCAGATGCCACACACGGTGGGAATGGCCAAACTCTCCAGTATACTGCAATACAGACATAGAAAATGTTTGTGGGAGGTACTCACAGTAGAATGGGGCAGAGCTAAGCCTGAGGGTGTGAGATCAGAGCAGCAGATGCGAGAGATGGTGCCTGGAAGCAAAGGAAAGAGCCCCCGCCTGCAGAGACCCACTTCTGAGCTACCCACTGAAGCTTCTGTGTGTGCTCATAGATGAAGGTCTGAGTCTACTAGTTAGACAACATGGATGTAAGAAACTCCGGGAAGGTAACAGAACAATAAAGAATATTTTGGGAGCAAGTCAACCTCATAATGATCCATTTTTCCAAGCACATGTTGATTATATATTAATGGATTTAACTCTGTCATTTTCACAGCACACATCGTCTATTTTATCAACCCATCACTTTCTCCTCTTTCTCTATTTCTGTTGGTCCCTTTTCCCTTCCCACCTAGTGTCTCTTCTCCTTCCACATCTTTATTTGTGTTGATGACCCAGTGAATTAGGGTTGTTTGTGTACAGCATGGGTTCCTAACCAGTGGCCACTCCACAGAAGAAAATGATGTGTCTTAAAAATGACGTGTGTATGAGTCAGATTCATGCAATGAGTGCAGTGCCTGCTGAGGCCAGAGAGGGCGCCAGCTTCCCTGCTGGGCCTAACAGGCAGTTCGCCCAATGTGGGCGCCGGGAACTGAACTCAGGGCCTCGGGAACAGCAGCTAGGGCTCTAAGTTACTCCACCATATCTCCACCTACCCTCCCCAAATAATGCATTTTTAAAGCCTAAAAAACAAATGGTCTTCTCTAAGTTCTGTTGGAGATGAAAAGAAACATGCGCCTTTTCAAGATCCTGCTGCCTCCTT